ATATAAATAAAAAATAGTCGAATTGAGCAATTTTTATGACATAAAAATATATAAAAATAATATTTTATCGACTATTGTATGGCCCATGATAATTTTATTTCATATCTAGTTCATTTTTCGCGTTTGTGGGATTTTTTTTGTCTCTATTTAGGTCAGATTTGAGAAGCTTTATCGCTTGATCTGAGAAGGATGTAGGTTTTTTGAGTCAAAATAAGGAACGAGAATGTTCAAAAGTTTGATTTTTGTTTGCGGCAGTTGACAATTACAAGCGTTCCTCTTAGGGATGATGAGAAAGTTCTAAAGAATCGCATCTTTCAACCGAAGACTAAAGCTACTCAGAACACATAATCTATCGCTAGTTCAAAAATGTTTTATCCAGGGGTGGCGAACGGTCCTTATTTTTCGATTACGAATTTTGAAATGTACCTTATTTTACCGTTAATTTTTAAATTTTTAATTTCGAAACATAAGGTTCACAAACACAAACAAAATTGTACTTTTGATTTTTTTTTGCAATTTATCCATTAAATCATACTTAAAAGCTTGTTTAAAGCATCCATTAATCATTACTAAAGCTGCATTAAGCAACTTATCATGTCCTGTACACAAAATTAGTTGAAATTAAGTCAAATTTCAATGAAACATTTTCAATGTTTACATTCGAATATTTTATGTTAATGTTAGTGAATTTTAAAAATATATTCAAATTTTTCCGAATTTAACGGTAATAGCTCTGTTCGCCACCCCTAGTGTTTTATCTCTGTCGAGATAATCGCGCTTTCTCAAATCACATCCAATAAATTTAAGCTCACTTTTCTACTCATATCTCGCACAGTTGAACAATGAGGTGAAGAAGAGAGGAAAAAAATAAGCTATGTATAGGATGAGGATGGTGTATTATCCCAACGGGTGATAGTTTGGACAACGACTGCTAGGCAATGCAATAACAATAAAAACAATTCATGTGTCAAGTCAACTAAATTAATGACAATTCCTTTTTATCATCTCTAATTTAATTTTACTGCATTCAACTCTTTTTGTTGCTTCTTCTTACTCTTTATGCCACTGCTGTTGCTGGCTTGTTTTTTTCGTCCTTTTCTTTCCTCTGACTTGCGAGCTTGCTTTATTTTTATTTATTTATTCTTGAATGCTCAATGAGATGAGTCAAGTTGTGTGTCACTTGCTCCTTTTTATCAGCACTAGAGCATTGTTCTTTATGAATTTTTATTTAAATTTTTTTTTGTTTTTATTTCTGTCGTTGCTATGCACTTATTATTTCTCATTTATTTTTGTTCTCTTTCTTCTTGCTAAATAGTTTATTTTATTTCTGTTAAGACAATAGCTTGTAAGAGGAATAGTTGCGGAAGTCGCTCTAGAATCGCGCATTTTTGTCTTATTTAAAGAATTTTTGAATGTCGTTTTGGAATCTTTTTATTGTGAATAATAAAGTAAATAGTTGAGATTAATGATTTGAATTAAACATGTTGGTTTAAACACAATGCTTATTTATTAATAAGTTTAATTAAAGACTTCTTAGGGGCCGTTCACTTATTACGTTCGCACTTTAGGGGGGAAGGGGGTTTGAAAAATTGTAACAAAATGTAACATAGGGGGGGGGGGGGGATCAAGAAGTACGTAACGTACTAATTGTCGCCTGTCTTTTAAAAAAAAAGTTCACGAAAAAAATTTGTTTACAAATTCACATTAAAAACATTTTTTTAAATTTTTCACCTTTTTAATGATTTATGAATGTCCAGATCACTTTTGATAGCTAAGCAATACATAGTTTTTGTTATATAAAGTAACAAATCAATAGAAAACTGGTTTACAAGACTTTAAAATACAATCATAATTTGTAGAAGTATTGTAATAAGTGAACGGCCCCTTACGAATTAAATTCAATGACAATCATGTTAATTCTTCGGAGTTCAAAGACAGACTATTTATTTTCATGGTCGGGAAAACAACTTTACTAGGAGAAAACAACTAAATATGGTTGCAAATACAATTTAAATATTGAATGACAGTTGATATATTCTCATCAAAAAAAGATAGTTTAGGAACATAAAGTCTTCAAAGATTGAATCAAAAGCAGGATATTCTGCATCGGAATCATTCATACAATCACTTTTAATTAAATTGCTCAAAACTATAGGACCAAACTCACGTCCTTCTTATCATAACCTTAAATTTTAGATTCATATAATTTAAAAGTTGTTTAAAAACCAATTTCAACCATACGAGCACATTCAGTATTAAAAGTTCAATAGATGTATTGAAATGTGTTAAAAATTCATGAATGATTAACTTTACATCAATTGCTCCTCAACATACAACAGCATCATGTTATTTATTACAAGCAAATCGGTTTAGTAGAATCAATTATGAAATATGAATAAACAATAAACTGTTCGGAAAAGCTTATTAAATACTTAACCATTCAAGAATACCCAACAGGACAATCCAACAGTAAGAATCCATTTATCATTCAGAATGAAGCAAGTTATGTGGAAAGTCATGCATAAAGAAAAGACAAGAAAAAAAATGACAAGCAAGAAATAAATTTAATAAAAAAATATTTTTTATATGGCATCCATAATGAATTCATAATTTCATGGCAAGTACACAAGAAAAGTAAATTTTGAGACAGTTTCATTAATCTCCGCATCGATTAAATTTCTTCGAGCTCAAATAAATCATCGCTTGTCTGATTGCTTCATAAATATTGTAATACATACGAAAATTAACAACTCAATCGGTTTATTATCATTTATTGAGTCTGTCTGGTTAAGTGACTGAATGTCTATAAATTTACATCAGTCGATGAACTCTCTATTGAATATTTTATTATTATGAAATAAGTTCACATGATTCTCGCTTTATTGGTGTTTATTACACGAGACGATAATGCTGATGATTATGATGAAGACTCTTTTTTTTTATAAAGTGCTAGAGTGTTGTCATAGTCATTATATTTGATATTACTGACAATCTTCAGTTTATTATGATTATTTCGGAAAATGATGCTAAAAGAATTGGGAAAAAACCCAAAAGGGTGATGAATTTTTAAGCATATTATGTGAAACAATGACTTTTTTATGGTCAACAGTAAAGCGACGACTTTTCAAAAATCAAAACTAATGCAACGACTTTTTGAAGATCAATAAAATAAAATCAAAGCTAAAGCAACGACTCTTTGCAGATCAAAAGTAAAGCGACAAATTTTTTGAAAAACGATGAATTAAAATCAAAAATAAAGCGACGATTTTTTGACAATCAAAAGTAAAGCGACAACTTTTTTTGAATAACAATGAAATAAATCAAAAGTAAAGCAACGACTTTTTTAAAAACCAAAAGCGAAGTTTAACGTTTTGCTCAAAATTAAATCGACGACTTCTTCGAGAGCTTTCTAATCTAAGGCGTTGACTTGGTTTAAAATAAGTGTTTAATTTCATTATCATTTTGACTGTGATTCAGAAACGTTTGTGAACATCATGTAATATTAATCATCTCTAAATTTAGATCATATTTTAAAGCTTCCTCATATCTCTCGATCATAAAATTAACTAACATGCTCCAGATGTTTAATCCTGCCAACCGCAAAAGCCATTTGCAGAACATAACTTTGCTTTCATTAAATTTTCCCATTCATAAAAAAATTCCTCATAAGTTCTATTTTCTCTCCTAAACATTTCATAATGGATATCATAACAATTCATGGTTGTTAATTAAAAACTCCATTAACTGCATTCAATAAAGAAGAAGGAGCGTAAATGAATAAGAAAAATTAATAAAACCTACAACCATATCTCATTCACAACTGTGAAATAAATTTTTTCTAAATAACTCAAAGCTTTTCATTTCTTCAGTGTTATTGCTGCAAGACATGCTTGCTATAAAATAATAAGTACAGCAAAGCCACAATTATATGGAATGATGGGTCGGATCTAGGAATTATTGAAAGGGTGGTTGATATTATTTTTTCCAAAAATCCTAGCTAATCAAAGAAATTTTTCAAAATAGGGGGAGTTGATCCCAATGTTAGCAGAGAGAACAGAGTCCGTTACAAACAAAAAAAATTCAAAATTTTCGCACGGTATTTTTTTAAAATTTCAAAATAAGAAAGTCCGTTACTTTTTATTTTTTTTTAAACTAGGTGTTTTTTAAAGCATTAACATTTAAGGAATGCAATTTCATCACAGTGATTATCTTAATCATAAAAACTAGTAGGAATGTTCCCTAAAATTACAAATTACTCGAAAAATAATAATTCACAACGAATTTTTTTAAAAATAAGAACTTCGAAGATTCGATTTTCGAAAAATAAGAACCTCGAAAATTCGAAGTTCGAATAATAAGAACTCAAAAATTTCTGTTTGCTAGCATTGGAGTTGACCCTGACAACCTCCCCCTAGCTACGTGACTATACTGATGGGTAAGAATTTAATGAGAACATTTCCTTCTATTTTCAATTATGAATGAATGAAAAACTTCCTTAGTTCAATTAAGCTTTTATATTTCATCTGCATTCACATAAGTACGTCTTTGTATTTTATGATGCTCTCCCGAGCGACAATTTGTGGCAGTGGCAGTTCTGAGACTGCCTCCACACTGCCTTGAAAAGATTAAGGCAGTTGTAAGGCAGTTTCACTTGTAACTGCCTTGTAACTGACTTATAGGCGCCATGTGACTACCTTGCGATTACCATGCGATTACCATGTAACTGCCTTGTGACTGCCATGTGACTGCCTTGTGGCTGCTACAATAACAATAGAGTAGAACAAAAGAATTTTTTCATTGTTAAATCATTTGTGTCATATCGTTTAACGTGTTCGGTTCGTCAATTAATTAAATAATTAAAAAGAGTCAATTAAAGGTGCTTTTTGGACTTGAAATATTACAAGAGACGTCGATATGGAAGCCATCAGTGATGTACGTAATTCTAAAGTGCTTAAATTATTGTAAAAATAAGATTTTTTCCAGTTAAAAGCACGCAACTAATCGATTTTGTTGAGCATAAGCTAAGTTTATTTGACAATCAAGCAAATTTTGATCCTGAATTTGAGAAAAAGCGTTGTAACTTGGTATGTATTATTATATATTTCTATTTTAACATAGCTTAACAGTTCGATTGTTATTTTAGGTGGGTTATGTATCAAAACGCATGGTAAATGATAAAGCAAAAGGTGAACCGAAAAATGGGCTAGCGATCTCTCTACTAAAGCTGTATTTTTTTTCAGACTTCTTTTTATCAGATGTTGGATGGTCCAATTATGATGGTATTATTAATTGATTTCATTTTAAAGATACTTTTATAATAAAATATTTTATTCTTGATTTCCTTTTCAGGTCGTGTTGAGATTCGTAACAATCTCAGACATATTTCTCTTTTGACGTCATTAAAGCACACACCGAAGGAATTTACATCAATTTAGATGCTGCCAAATAATTTATTCACTACGCAATCCGCTTTTTTCATGAAGACCACAATGAAATCGTTCGTAAAATGAAGAAAGCTGATTCAAAAGCTAACGAAAAAGTTTCATATTGATATTTCTTATCTTAATTTGTTTTTGATTATAAAAAATTGTAATAAACTCCTAACTGAAATCCAGATTTTGAATTTTGATTTATTTTTGTAATTTTATTTCAGATTTGCCAAGGCAATTTTTTGGCAGTATTAAGGCATTGTTGTATGTCGATCATACAGCTGTCGTATGAGTGCCACCTCGTCAACTTCAAGGCGATTACAAGGCAAGTCGGTTACAAGTCAGTGGCAGTTTCAAGACAGCCTTGCGCGCGGAAATATGGAGGTCAGGAGTTGCCATCAAGGCAATAAGGCAGTCGTATGGCGATTATCGATCTGCCTTGACTTAAGGCAGTTGGCAGTAGGCAACGACTTATGACCACCTTATGGCTGCAATAAAGCGGATAAATGTCGCTCGGGTCTCTTTATTCACTCTCTATGATTGTATCATGTCATGTTTATGGAAATGAAAAAAGTTTATTTTTTTCCTCTTCACACACAACTCATTCACTCGTTCATTTCAAATTTAATTATGTAAATTTAAGATATGAGAAAAGTTCTACGTACATGTGCATACTTTTACCCGATTCATGTCTGGGGTAAGAGATCGGATGTTGTGAGAAAAGATTTTTTTTGTGCTCTCTTTTATATGCTTCATTTATGTTTGACGTTTTAGCGGAATTTTTTGATTGATGGGAAAATTTATGATATTATCAGTTTGTTCAGCTTTAAAGTGACTGTGATGTTAGTCAGGCTATAAGTATGGCTGCAAGCTTTACTAGCTTTAATCACCCTTGTTAAGCCAATGGATACTTATTTGAAAGCATAACTTTAGTGGTTTGATAGTTCCCGATTCCTTTTAAGTCTCTTCTTTCTCTTCTCAAGGTTTTTTATGCCTCTTCAAACAGTTTAAGTACTGTTTGAGGAGGCTTTTTCCTTTTCTAAAGGAGAGAATAGAGAAAAAAGGAATTAAATTCGTCAACCGAAAAGGTTAAATAAATCTCACATACATACATACATACATACAAGTGAGGTTCAGGGGTTTTATATCAAAATTTAAACTTTATTTTTTAATTGTGCTTTAATTTGTGTAGCCAGGAGGGTCTTGTCCCCCCCCCCCCCCTTAAACGTTTTGAACCGCAGCGAAAGCACAGCCTAAAACGCTTAAGAAGGTGACAATACCATCCTGGCTACGCGCTTGGTACAAATGAAAAAATTTCTGTTGCAAAGGATGGAAAGTTATTTAAATTTACAAACCTAATACAGTCTCTCTTAGTCTGTATAAAGACTATGTTGGCTGCATATCCAAAGATGGTACTTGATCTGAAGATGCATGTAGAATCAATAAAAAATCGCTATAATCTCATACATACAATAACTTGCCAACTAGTTTTTCATGTATTTCTTTTTATTTCTTTTTACGACAATCTGCTTCTTCTTGCTGAACTTTTTCCTATCCCCCCTCCAGAACAACCATCGAGGATGATTCGCTACCTTAATCTATGCAAAATTTCAAAATATTCTCTAACCGAACAAATGTCTCTCGTGCGAGCATCTCGTTCAGTCATGTTCATGTATGCCATCTCATACCATTTAAGTAGTTATAGTTTGTAATATGCAAATAAATTAAACTCTTGTGCGATGTACAATATTAAATCAGAGTCGTATGGAGTATTTAAATTAGAATTTTGTCAAACAACTTTTACAATGAACAAAAAATAATATTTTATATTCTTCTGTATATTTTAAATTCATATATTTTGTTCGTATATTTCATATATTTCGTTCGTTCTGCAGGCTGTATTTTAATGACGGTAGGAAGTAGTTTGTATATACATTGTGCAACATTGAAAATTGATGTAGAATGTGAAATTATTTTTTATGCTGGAGTAAAGTTATGTGTAACATAAAAGCTATATTTTAAAAAATTAGTAACATATGAGAGTTTGGATGCTCTGGTAAGGGAATTATTGAAGGTTTATGATTAATGTGCATTTTAGTTTAGTGCGTTAATGAAAATTCTTGGCGATGAAGGTTTTAAAAATGATCAATTAAGCTCTTAATAAACTTTGTTTAAAGATCCAGGCTGGATAAATTTATAGATAGCTTAAACGACTGGTAGCGACAAAGCTAGAGTTTAATTAGCACCACTAGATCTTTAACGTCATGTGATCCCTTGGTTACATTTATCTAGGCAGGTCATTATATCCACAAGCTTTGCATAAAGACAATGGGTTCGAGACCCACTTTGGCATCTTGTTCAAGTGTAAATTTGACCTTATATTAAAAATAGGACAAGTGATACAAGTTTTCATAAAAATCAAGGGATAGCCCATCATTAGATGATATCTTTAATCATCAAAAACGATGGAAATTGAGTGGAAAATTGATTGTAGACAAACTTAATCTGAATAAAATTTGAGTACCATAGTTTCTCTTTCCATTTTTCAGCCATAACCACAACAAACATCAAGTAAACTGAATAAATCTTAAAAAACTCTCAAGCATCTCCATCAACAAAAGAAAAAATTCCTATTAATTCGATAATAAAAATGTCGACAATCAAAATGACATTCATTATGTAGGAAAAATTATGCTAGAGCCAAAGGAAGTGGAACAAGAGAATAGAAAATATTTTGCAATGAATATGGAAATTGATGTGAAAAAGATTACCCACTAGAAGTATACATCATGATGTGCATGATATGAAAATTGTGTATATGTGCGTCAGTACATAAAAGACAGTCAACTGATAACATTCAAGAGATACGAGAACGAGACAGAACCCAAAAGGGAAAACTGAAAAAAAATTCGTAAAAAATGGAAATTCATTCAAAAAAGGCAGAACATAAAATGTCATTAAAAATAATTGATGTTTGTTAATTGCTCCCAAAACGGATGCACCTTAATTATTCTAAAAAAAATGTCATTGCTTCTATCGTCTGTAGTCATAATGGGACAATGATGATGGCAATTCATACACAATAATGCATGTTTATCGCTTCCACTCTTCCTCCTTACCACCCATCTCTTAATAATCATTCAAATTGCTGTATTATTTTATTTTAACAATGTCTATTTCATGATAATGTTGATGATGATGATGTGGTGTATTTTTCGGTTTTATGTCTGCATTCAGCCAAGGGGGATATGTATTGAAATGAAATTTATTGGGCTTAGGAAGGTTTTGGTTATGTTTTTGGATGTGTAATGTCGTGAGCATTGTTAAAATCCTTGTCACATCATCAATTGTCAATGTAATCGTTTTTGAGATCGATTTCTGGTAGGAATCGAACGTGGGAAGTAAATTACAGATTTTCGGTATATTGTTAATCCACTAAGCTGTAGATGTCTTATTTGCTCCTAGCGGGTTCGCCTACTTATTGCTTGATGCTCTGCTTTGAAGTTTAATGAAGCTTAACAATTTTTCTTCACTTGCAGAAACCTTCAAAGTGACAGAACTGTATGCAGTGGTTCAGTTTTTGACAAAGCTAGTTGGGTTTTTTGGTTTGTCTGTGTCATCAAAGATACAACACTGTTTTTAGCTATTCTTAAGCTTATGCAGTTGGAGTGACAACTAGCCACTAGGAAGAAAATACTTCAATCCAAATGTTTGGCTTCAGGGATCGTTAAGAACCTACTTTACTTCACCCTATCTCATGAATATACCTCTATCTTTTGCAATATCAGATATTCTAAAGATTTCACAAAATGTCTAGCCAACAATTTTCCTTAAACTCATTTCCCCCTATATCTATGTATCTATAAATCGATTTGAATTGCCACATTTTTTTTCTCTCTTCTTGTTTATAAACCGAGCTTTTCCTCTTGTGACCTTTCTCTCGATAAACATTTTTTCCGTATAACAGACAGCCATATGCATATACAAAATGTTTTTAGTCGCTTTTATCGACATTTAAACAATCACATCTGCTTCATAATGTTATGACTGTTAATGTACATTTTACACGATTTAACTATGAACATTTCATTGCTTTTAAAGCTTCTGTAAATATTTTTGGAGAGCTTTATTTTTTCTAAATTGTCCATTTTGGTAGGCATAGAAACTGAACAAGTGTAGGATGATGTCGTCCTTCTGCTTCTGCTTTATTCGAAAATCTCAAAAAAAAAATCCAAGATTATGTTGATTTATTATCTCGATTTGCGACTGTCTAGGAAGTACTTACTGGGCTTTAATTTGCTCTTTTGTGAATTGTTTTATCCACTCAAAATGTAAAGCTATGTAGTAAAAAATAATTATAGAGCATTTCATGGAGCTTGTAATGTTGTGAGCAGATTGTTCGTAAGGATTTTAAAAATCAGAGCGTGGATCAGACTAAATGACACAAAATTACCGAAAAAAAATTAAATGATCTGTTAAAATGAATTATCTAGCATGGATGCAGAGAGGATTCGAACAATGTCAAAAGTGTTCAAAACCTTATAAGGCCGCATATTTTGTAATAATGTTTCCCGCATTTTGTGCTAAACAGCTCCTTATAAACCAAAGTTTCAAAATTTACTTGACAGAATAGCACCAAAGCAGATGTTGCATCTGTTTACTTACAAAAACTCAGATTGAGCTGTAATTTTGCTTAAAAATTGATTGAACTTTTTTTGGTATGGACGGAGAACTAAGCCGAATAGGTTAGAGGTGATTACACTTAAAATTTTACATATACAGATACTTCCAAAATAAACAAAAGACCAACTCTGCTTCATACTAATTAACAACCGTACTCAAATGCGCATTCAAACGTCTGTCACCAAAACAACTATTAACTTTTTCACAGCCACTCATTTCCATCCAATTGCTTGTTACACAATTGAAGAAATGAGATAGTAAAAAATTATATTAATTTGCTAAATTACACTAAAGGTGTGAAAAAAATGAGTGAAAGGGCGTGA